TAATTTTCTAACTGGGTATGTTAATGGCCATGATGATTAGGTTAAAAATTTTTGAAGGAAGAAATTAGAGTGATTTAAATTTAAAGAATCAAGTTTGGAAAATTTGTAATAATAAGGAATAATTTGCTAAAGACACTTCTCAGGTTTTGCTGAGACCGTAAGTAATGTATTGGAGTGTCACAAAGGGTTATGTCTAGTTTATCAGCTATCCTCCTGAGGACATCACATCCTGCCTCTGTCATCACATCATAATTGAAAGGAAAAAGGACTCCCAAAGGTTCTAATTTCAAGCTAGGACACAGGAGACATAGAAGAAATTATCAGCGAGAGACACTGAGGTATTTGTGAGCATATCTCCAATAATAAACATTTCTGGCTGGAAATGGTGAAAATACATTAGGAACTGGTTTTATCACTGCACAAAAGGCTATCACTTGTCAATAAGAGTAAGCACGATCATTATAGACAACCAAAACACTGTCCTGCACAGAAAATGGTCCCAGAATAGTCCGGGAAATGGATATAGTTCATCAGATTTTGACTTTTGCAGACTGCTCTGTCTAACCATTCACAGTTTGGATGTGACAGTAGCACCCAGACATAACTAATGTTCTAAAGACCTCAGAGCATATGCCCAAGTAACCAGGTGTCAGGAAAAGACAGTCCTTCAAGGGTGATGGGTATCTTCTACTCACTCGCAAACATGTCACAATATATTTTCATTTTAATTATCATTGTATTATCATTGTATTATTTTATGTAGTAATATAACTTAGGCTTTAAATTTTCCTGCATGAAATTAATCTTAAAACCAGACATACTCACCAAAGCTTGCTAGGGTGCTCACAGCTGGCCACTGCTGGAAATCATCCCAAAGACTCCATTACAGCTGTGATGAAGTGATTTCCCAGGACCCTTTGGACATCTGTAAGTTAATAATATTAATTACTTTATACTTTCAACCTTGACATCATACTGGTAGCTAGAGTGATCTGCAAGGGTAAAGTATTACCTAGTGCGGGCCCTAGGAGAAGAAAATGCTGGAGACCAATTTAATCCTTTACCATTTGCTTAGGAGAGCAAATTGTTAGTGACCTCTGGGAAGGGAGAGTTATAAAGAAAGAAGGTGGGGAGAGAGGGGGAGGGAGGAAGAGAGAAAGAAAGGTGTTGGGGAGAGGCAAGTTATTAGAATTAGTACATTGAAAGTGAAGAAGAAAAAGTGAAGTGATATTTAAACTGGGAAATTCTCAATAGAGTCAGGACAATAAGCAAGTTCAGTAATCAAATCTATCTGGACATTTATTGTGTTTCTACATCCATTTTGGTGCCTGCAAATCCCTTTAAATTATTAAGGGTGTTCAGTGTTCTTTGTTAAGTAATGTTTGGCTATTTCTATTCAGATTGTAAATTGCGTATTATCAGTAATCCTGTACTTATCAGTTCATGAAGGACCTTCTGCTATCAAATAATGCTCTTAGCTAAGAAAGGCTTAAAATTAAACAACTTTTTAATGTTCTCTGTAGATAAGCAAAAGGATGATGCAATAGTCAGAGAAATATTCTGATGGGTAATAACCTTTAATCTGAGTCTTAAATGAACTGACACTTTCCAGATGAGCAGAATGGGTAAATATGGGAGGAAGTAACAGTGAGAAGTTATCTAGGTTGTTGTTAAATGCGTGCACTCTGGCATAGGCAAGGATTCTAATTTGCGGCTTTCTATGTACTTCATGTATTATCAAGGCAAGTAACCTAATCATTCTTGACCTTAATTTCCTCATATAGATAAGGACTATAAAAGACCAACCTCACTGTTAGAAGATGTAAATGAGATAGTGCATGTAATCATAGATCACACAGAGTGTGACATATATAGCAAGTATTCAATAAGTGTTAGCTATCATTACTTCTATTATTATCCTTACATCGAAGTGCCTTTTGAAGTGTGTATTCAGTTCACTGTGGATTTCCTTTATTTTTCAAGTGAAACTGGAATAAGAATAATAGATAATAAGATAATAGAGCCCTGAGTTGATATAATAAAGTCTGGCATACTTTTGAAATTATTACCTTTATTTGTAGGTAATCATTACATACATTAAGTGATCTTATATAACATCAATCAATAATCTCAGTTAATTATTTAAGTTATTTTCCGTTCTAGTTTACAGAAATGTAATCAGATATTAATCTCTGAAAATTGTCAGGACTCCTAGACAAGATTAATTTCCTCAATTCAGAGATGTAAAAAAAAATTTATTTTTGTCCTCCTTGCTATTTCAACCTAAACTTTGTACTGATTGTGTTTGAAGCATCACAACATAAAAATCTACTTCTCAAAATTGAAGATATAGTTACATACTAAAGTATAATAGCAATGTCTAAATCAGCTTTTCCAATTTTCCCCTGTTATAGTAATGATCTAGATCATATATTTGTTTACGCTTGACTTGACAGGTTTGGATTTTTCACCTCACTGAGCTGGTGTTATTCTTGCTACATCAATAGAGGGGATAGAAGCAGAGCATGATGTATCAGACTAAATTCTTTTCTCTATTGAGCTTCCTTGATAACTCAGTTACTCTAAAAAAAAACACAAAACAAACAAACAAAAAAAACAGCTCTTGAAGACTATGTATACTATGTATAAAAAGTAAATATCCAAGGATGCTATAATCTCAGCAGCATAAAAATTCCACTTACTCATTTTCAAAGAGTTGTGACATGTCAACACAACTTGGCGTCTAAACAAAGGAGGATATAATGTGTACTAATCAACCTAAAGGCATATTATCTATAACTCTCAATCTACTCCAGAACATAATTTAAACAATTCTGAACATAAAAACATTTCTTAACCTTAAATTTCATAATTTCAATTTATTTTTGGAAATTAGGAAAAGAAAGGAATATTTGAGATCAATTTTATTTAACTTAACTCAATAAAGAATGTGTCAGTCCTTTCATTAAAGACATAGACTCAAATCATACTTTCAGAAATAATGTGTAAGTAACTATCACAAAGGTTGTTATAGTGAATCTGCTTTGGTAAAAAAGAAATCAGGTGATCAGAAAGAAGCAGAACTCATTTACTAGGATAAATAAACTTTTAACAATGATCATTTCTGAATGTCCACATTCTGTTATCCAACTTTTGAGACTTAATAATCATGACTGTCATATGTTTAGTGTGACAGGATTTTATAGGTATTAATGCCTATATTGTAAAGACCATTAAAATTCCTATTTTAAACTAAAGAAATTGAAGCAGAGGAACATTAACCTACGTAAATTCACATGGATTATAAGTGCTAAAGGAAGGATTTGAATCCATATGTGACACCAGAGCCTATATGCCTAATCATATTGGTTCCTGTAGCTAAGAATGGAATTACTATATAACTATCTTCTACAGGGGTTCTGTGAACTTTGGAGAGAATCTGAGTTATATGATTTGAACACACATCCACACAAGCACCAGGAGTCTCCAAAGCCATTCTGACCCACTCCCTTTTTTTTCTCACTTAGTGAAAGAAAAGTAGAACATGATGACAGTGGATACCTGGTAGGGTTGGAGAGGTCCAAAACTAAGGAAAACCAAAAATGTAAACCACATTTTCCAACAGTAACGGTTGAAAGCTTAGTTCACACTACCTATGAATCAATCATTTTATCTTATGACACCGATGTATCGCTTCAACTCATCCACTCACATCACAGTGGACCATTAACCTAGGGGTGGTCTGGGGGCCAGTGTTATCCTTGTAAACTATGTCTTCATGAAAGTATGAGTGTGCTGTCAGAGTAGAACATCACCTTTCTTAATTAAGTCAGTTGACTTTCAGGTAACAATTTGGGGTATTTTATGAAAACTTCTGAAAAATGAGGTTTCTTCCATGTTGTATTACAGCTCCAGCTGTTACAATTTAGTCAGTTAGATTTCTTAAATATAAAAGATCACAATTTTTAGTATTCAAAAATATAGGCTACAAAAATGAATATTATATATTATCATGTATAAAACTTTAAAATGAATAAATGATCAGATACTGAAATTCAAACTAATAAATACCAAATGAGCTGTGAAATCCAAAGCTGTGTGTCTTTGGGTATAAAATTCAAATATATATATGTATGTGTGTGTATATACTAAGAAAATAACACCATGATTATATATTTCTCTAATTAAAAATCTAGCAGTTGCCTTTTTATTTATCTTCATTGAGATTCCTAGGTAGGAAAGTACAATAATACTAAATTAGATCAAGACATCTTAGCAAGATCTACTAGTTAGCAAAAGGCTTAGAAGGAAACTATGTTTTTGCTACTGACATAATAAATCTAAGCTTTTAGTTAAAGCAAATATATTTTAACAATAGCTGGGAACACATTTGTGCTATTTCTCAAAATAATGCAACCAAATAAAAGTATGCTTACTATAAAATTCTCCGGTTTTATTATAATAAAAATGCTATACCTAAAAAAGGTAACCCAATGTATCAAGATTTTGTGTACAAAGGTACTGATTGATGCAAAAATTCTGATTATGAAAGCAAAGCATGTTTTTGGCAGCATTGAAACATAAAATTTATAAATTAGATTTAAAAAAACATTTTAAGAAAGATTTTTATATAGTCACAATATTTTATACTATATAATTAAAAGCTGACTGTATATATTTATTTTAATGGCTTGGCCCTCAGTTAAAAATGCCTTAAAATGACCCAGCATTGATGAAAGTCAAGTGAGATTAGTGAAACTGTACCAAGCACTTTCATAACATTTTAGAAATAATGCAAAATACAAAAAATAAAAATATGTAACAAAATATTTTAAACTAAAAATAAAGTAAGGTTAAGGATATACATTGAAGATTACTCAAACAGCTAGACACCTGCTCAAAACACCAGTTAAGGAGCTAAATAAATAATACATTATAAAATAAAAAATTATTTCTGGGAAGTATGGGAAAGTGACTAGGTTTCCAAATAATTTCAAAGTTGAATACAATCTTTTAAATTTCAAGTTATTCTTGATTATGTAATTTACTAAAATTAGAATCAGAGTTATGTTTAGGCCAGGTGTCAGGAAGCAAAAGTGAATGACTTTATCTTTAGTAACTCCAGACTCCTCTTCACTGTCTTCCTGAATCTTTCCTCAGTTCCTCAGTGCCCAATGACAAGAGTCACCAGTATACCTAGCACATGTGACATTTTATATGTTAATTTTATTTTCTCGATTATCCCCAGCATATGGTTCCTAACCAATGCATAACTATGCCATTTTGACAGAGGTACCCTTATCTCCTATGGCACTTCATTTCATTTTGTATTAATCTAGCATAACGCCTTGACAGGGTCAAATATTTTTAACGTCCTTTACATAGTCCCTTTTGGCCTGCTAACCTATTGTTTAATAAAACTTTACTAAAACTTACAATAAATCAACTCTTTTTCTAGATCTTGTAATTTACATTAAGAAGTTTTTGTTTTTTACATGGACTGTAACCAACATTCCCCAAGGTTGAAATTGTATCTGTTCTGTAGCAAATATTATTTTAAAAATGCAATTATGAAATTTATGGAAGATAAAACATTTCCAACAGTTGAATTATGTCACTATGATACATAAAATTACATTATCTCAAGAGAATTCAGAAAAATATATTATTAAAGTCAATCTTTACTCTGAAGAAGTCGTTAGCTAATTATGTATGATTCTAAGAAAAAAGACAGTGGTAGGTGCACTCAACCTTGAATGAGAGATTTTCTTCACCTGTGGTCCTTGGAGAGCTCACCCTTTCAGGCCTCAAGGTAAGCTGTCATGTACACCACAAACCAAGATTCAGGTTTAGATTAAACCTGCAGGGACCACAGAACAATTTGTCCCCATGACAAATCTTTTCTGCTGATTAAACAATGGAATT